TACCGGCATTTATTGTGTTGAGGTTCAAATCCCTTTACAGCGGTGGTCTGAACAAGAAAAGGGCACTTAAGGGAATAAGACTACAACTTGCTCTTCTGGGTTACATTAAAATCCATTGATTTCCATCTGTTACTCGAACAAAACAGAGTGCTGCGTATTTGATAAAAATAAAATTGCTTATTTTGGAGAATATACATTAAATATGTTTGATGTTTATGGCCTGTAAATTGGACAGTTCTGTTCATCTTAGAGTTACTTAATCATGCAAGTAAGAGGAAATCGCTATGCTCAAAAGACCTATTTTCACTCTAAGCACAAAAAGCTCTTTCATTACGTCATGAGAAGCGCTACAGAAAGCGTTCCCCCTGCCAGCCCACCTGCCCCCTCCTCACTCAGCAAAGCCCCTGCGCTGAAAGTACAGCACGCGCCCAGGTACTTTTCTAAACAGATGTCAGCAGCTAGACTTTTTTACTTTCCAGGCTAATTTCATTTCCCCTTTGCTCCTCTTGCTTCAGAAAGAGGAGAGGTCGCCACCGCTGTAGGAAGTTGCCCAGTCAAACCTGCAACTGCTTTTTTATTTTTCCTGGGACTTCTGCAATAGTCAGTCCCCAGGTTCAATATTGCAGCCAGACACATTGAAGACACCTGCGCTTCTACAACACATACGAACGTGTTGGGCCAAACACAGTGGCCCAAATACATAATAAAACTCCCAGGTTTCTTCCCTGCAGCACCCGTGATCCAGTTTAAGCAGCTGGCTACAGCAGCATGGGAAGCTTTGGAACACGGGAGCGGCCGGGATACCCTGGCAGCGGTGACTTCTACTAGTACACACTATGCTCTGATGAACCCTCTTTTGCTGCTGCAGATGGAAACCACCCGTCACCAACATTTGCCCTCGTTCACATGAAACATGGGAGCGTTAAAAGTCAGGATGAGTAGCACAAGGCTGCATTCGGAGGCGACCTCACCTACGCATCTCCTGCTGCTTGTTCCTTTACTCCCAGAGCAGGGACACCAAGCCTACCTCGGCGGTGCTAACCTCAGGTTGATGGTCTCTTCAGGACTATACTTTAACTCAAATTTTATATTATAAATCCTTTCAGTGTTCAGTCTAATGGTATCCGAGTCTTCAAAGGTTACCAAAGTGTGTATCAGACCCTTGCAGACTGACCAATCTTTACAGAAAATAAAAGGCGAAGAAGAAATTGCTGTTAGGATTTGAAATAGTCTTTGAATAGCAAATTCAATAGGAAAAATGAACTAAGAAGCATACACCTTATACACGGTCATTAAAAGCTGCTACACGGGAGCCTGCAGAACAGTTAGCCATTTTTCACTCTACTCAGTGTCCAAGTGGCTTTGACTCATGTGGGCAGAGAAGCAGCGAACAAACTCAAAATTAGGGAAAGTATTTGTCATTTTCCTTTAAAATAAGGCAACCGTTGCTACAGAGGGACAGCAAACTATGGTTTTATCACACACAAGCTAAATCACTGACTAAAATAATTTTATTCTGAAATCGTGGCAAAAGTTTGCAAATTACCGCAACCTCTTTGTAAGAGAGTGGTACGGGAACCATGCATGTATATGTTTCGGGGTAGCTAAATGCATGCAGAAAGTGAGGATGAGCTTTCAAAAGCCAAATAGGGGATACAGCTGTTCTGAAATTCACGGCAACTCTGTGGCTAGACTTTCTGACCAGCCTTAAAAAAAATCCCCCCTTTTTTGTGTTCCATACTAAGTCAAGAGAGTATTATTAAGATTGCAAAGTCAGGCATTCAAGAGTGAGGTAATGTCAGAGTTAAGGCCGCCTGTTGAACCTTAATTTGGCCCCTTGTGAGTGTGAATTATGATAGTGCCTTTAATTAGATGATCACAATATTTTTTCCTATGCCTCATTCATAACACATGATGGATGGTGCTCACTGAATGATGAAACTAGATTTTGTTTTTTCCTTGTGGTTCAAGGTGTGGCAGCCTGCCTTATTTACTGCACGCTATATTCTTCCCTGGCAACAAAAGTAATGATTCCTTCACGGAGTTTTCTATGTGGTTTATCATTACAGCTATGACATACTCAACAAACATTACTAATTTAATTTTACGGCAGTCCTCAAGGGAAAAGCTAGGGGTTTTTTTCATGTAGTTTATCTATCTAGAACCTATTCTCATTGCTCAGGTTTTCACAAAGCTTTGCTTCCTTCATATTTATTCTAGGCAGCTTTATTTGCATCAGCTTTGGGGAGGCATTGACAATACCTGGGAACCAAAGTCAGGGTCCCCAGTCTGGTGTGTGCTTTGGGTAGTCATGCCTGGAGAAGGTCCACAGATCAGGGATGGCAGGGAAAATCCTCTTCAGCCACAAGACAGATCATTCCCAAAGTTAATAAACACTTTGGAGAATTACCTGTGCACTACAGGGAAGTGCAGGCTTATTTTTTCTAAAACTTGGACAAAGACAAGTGGATTTTCCTCATAAATTCAGAAGTGTTACTAACATAAATGCTATCCTTCTTCCAAAGACCCAGTTCCACAGCAAGAGAAAAGTAGAGAAAAGTTTTCCAGACACGATTTTTTTTTTTTTTCATAGACTTGCACTTGGAAATAGATGACTTGTTCTGACAAAAAGTTTTCCACCAAAAAAATAGTTCCCCCAAGAGAAATACCTTTCAGGGACAATTTCAGCCAAGATGGTTGAAATTTGGCAAGCTTACAAGTGACTTTTACTTTAGTCATCATTCATCCATCATCTTTCTTAAGAATGATGGATTGTGTAATTCTAAGGGGAATGAACACTGTCTAGAAGAGTGCTCTCTGGGTACACAGGCCCCTAAGTTATTTATATCATGGTTCATACATCATAGGCTGGATTTAATGCTCTAAAATGTTTTTGACTTTAAATACAATGATTCAAACCTCACAGGAGGTGGAGAACTTTTTAAGATCTGAGAAGACAAATTGAGTTCAAACCTTCTTGGAATACTATAAATTTCCTCAAATCAAATGAAACCCACCCCATTTTGTGTCACATATATTGCCTTTGGCTAACATTGCCAATCTCAGGGGCTTAACTGAGATCTACGCTTGATAGTCTACTTTTTTGAGGTGCTGAATATTCACAAATTCACAGACACAAGGGATGACAATTTTTAGTGTCCCTATGCTGTACCTCTGAAAGTGACTCTTCTGTCACTTGGACACCTACCTGTGGACTCGGCTATGTGATTTTGATCTCTGATGTTTCTGGTCTCTTTATATTCTTACTACATTTCCAGTATCATCTAAAATGACACGGTATTAGAAGAAAAACATATCTAGAGCAGGTGCAAAACTTACTGAGAAAGAAGAATCTTTGCAGCAACAGTCAGTTTTTGAGGTCTCAGCCATTCAGTGGTGCAATAAATACAGCAGAGACATTCAGAGTGTGCTCTAGCAGAATGTGTACAGCTGCGTGGCATTTTGGCATTTCTTATTTTTATTTAACACATTCTTTCCATCAGAACGGATTCTTGAATTCAGTGAAGGAAACAATCCCTGTGAAATAGAAAAATTGCAAAAATGTCCTAGGCTTAGCAGCAGAGCGTGAGTTACGCAAGTTCTTCAAATGACAAACAAGTCAACAGGGTTTGTGCTTTGGGCTTCCTACCCTAAGCCGCAGTTGATAATGTCTCACAATGCGATGTCTGTCACCGCTGCTGCTGCTGTTGGGAAGTACAGCCAGATTCCTTAGCACGCTCATTGTCCACCAGCACTTCCATGTGCCACCACAGCTTTCGGAAGCAGTGACATTTTACAGTTCCCAGCTCACTAAACATGACTGAACCCATGTTTTCTTTCTTTCCTGAATTTTGAAAGCCTGATGCAAGTAACAGACATCTTACCACCTCCAATAACAACTATCACAATCAAGCCCTAGTTATCTGTGAACAGAGTAATCGTGTTGCAGTATTACTGCGCATATGTAATGCACAGCTCAGGTCCAGGGGAACAGAACATCCCTAACAAAAGACCACATGGCTACAGCTAATTTGCTTCCAAATTCTGCTGCTGTTGTGTGTCCTGTCCTCTCCCTCTGTGGGACCATCAGAGGAGCTCCTCCTTCTTTATCTGGGCACTTATTTCCATGAACTTTTTAGTACCTTGCCTAGCGTTGAGATCTTTGCAACTCTGATCAAGAAGTTAAAAACTATTGAGAGGACAGGCAGTCACAAAGACGGTATCATCACAGAAGCCTTATTTTTGAAGGAAACCAACCAAAAAGCACATTGCTGAACATGTGCACTGTTTCCTATGACAGCGTGTTCATAAATACAAGCACATTTTAAAAAATACTGTGGAGGCATGGCATGAGTTACATGAGATCAGTTTCCCCCAGAACTGTTCCAGAGCAGAAACATGGTTAAATCATATTAAAACACTGCAGAAATCCCTTTAATAAAAATCACACATTAACATTACACAGCTTTGAAGCGCTCTGCATGTGTTAAAATAAATACATCTAAATACATCAATGAATAAATGTGTGATGTGAATACCAAGACATTTGGATCTTAAAGTTACTTTTTATAAATAATTTCTTGCTGAAAATTATCCCATTCACTTTATTTTAAATTCTAGACATTTTCTGCTTTCTAGAGTTCCTTCTTGACTGTCTGACAATTAAACAGAATCCTGTCAAGTTTAAACGATCGCTAGTATTTTGCAACTGAATTTCTAATACAAACAGGCATAAGTTTAACTTTAAACATTTGCTTACGTGCCTTTCTGAAGTAAAGCTTAAATGCTCTCTGTGGTACAACACTAATGGCTCAGCCCATCTGTTAAGAACTTACACCTTGAAAATGCAAGATCAGGTTTTGTACTAGGGAAGTAAGAAGAAATATCCTCACGTAGAAGTAATATCATCTACAGTTGACACTGGAAAACCTGAAAATGTATCATTCAAATGCCATCAATCCATCCAGAACTTCAAGAATCTGCATGAACAAACAGAAACATGGGGATAATTTGATCTTTATTTAGGTCTATTTAAGAAAAGTTGCATCATATTCAGATAGTCTAATACTGCAAATAAGATTTTACTGGACTGATAAAATTATTAACATCACTGATTTAAGGCAGCTGTTACATAGTGTTACATTAATATTTCAGTCAGATTGAATTCTTCTTCGGATACATTCATGCAATTAACTTCTATTGTATTTTTACACTGTACTTTGAAATATATAAGATTGTTTTGTTTCCCCGTATTAGACCTATCTGGTTAAGCTTTTCTCAAACAATACAGAGAATGGACTCATTGTTCTTCTTGTGAAAAGATTTAATGACTTAATGATTTACTGACTTATTTGATGCAAGAAACGCACGTTGAGAATGCCGTGGAGATAAATATACATCTTATATGTGTATGTCACATGCAAGCATGGAGAAATAGGAACGGAGGTTGAAACATTATTATTATTCTTAGCTAAAATTATTTTCCCTCCATATAAAATCCAAAAATATCCTTGCATTGAGCAGAGGGCCCATTAAACTTCCTCCTTTCCAAAAGATTCCTCTCCATGCCAGCCTCTGTTGGGGATGAGAAATCTTCCATGGAGCCATGAACAATCCTCCATGTTGCCTGTATTGTTCAGTCCAATTTCGGCTTTTCTTTTCCTTCTTCAATACCTGAAAACATATGGAGAGTAGCTTTTAAAAATATCTCAATGAATAAAAATGAAGAGTTTACTTAGAGAGGTTCTTCTAATGCGTTAATCTTTCTTTTCCCCCTATTGCTGTTTCTCCCCTACTTGCTCACATGCTCTTGCATGTGTTACCTCACCTGCTGTGAACAAAAAGAGCATCTGCACACCTGATGGCAGTGGTTGTCCAGTAACGAATCCCACAACCCTCCCTCCCTTCCTCCAGACCATTTTCAAATCAGCCTAACCCCCTGCCGTATGCTCAGCCTTTGACTGCTGCAGGGGTCTGGGAACAGTTAGTTCCCTCACCACCTCTGCTTACCTACAAGCAAAAGAAAGTAGATGTTATTATAGCTGAAGCTAAGCAGCGGACTTTACTTGAAAGCAAGTTTTTAAAGTCGTGTTTCAGAATTCAGCAACTTTGACACCCCCCGATTTCAACACTGGAGTTTTAAATATTTGCAAGTGCACCTCCCTTTTTTTGAGAGTACAAGAACGAAGAATCAAGTGCTGTTGATAGGGTGCCTCTCTCTTCTTGAAACGCCCATGTCGTGTAGCAATATCAGGAGGGCTGAGTTGAGTGTAGGGCTCCTTAAAGAACTTATCCTTGCTGCAGGACTTGTCTCTTTTCTATGCTGAGCAAAGTCTGGGCTGGGCAGCAGATTTTGTTTTTTCTGGCAATGAAAACATTCAGCTATTTCATATGCCTGTTCCTGGACAATGAATTACTATTGGTATCTGACACAAGTATTGTTCTTCTGACTAAGCCCTCTCTGCCAGACATCTCAAATACAAATATTTCTTTTGGAGGTTTTCAGGCCTGCTGCATGCTGGAAAAGAAAGACTTCTACGGACTGAAGGCAAAAGAGAAGCAATGTTTGAGCATGCTGAGAGGAAAATCCAGTCACAAGTAAGATCACCTGCTAATGCAATATACGCATAGATGGTAGGTACACCAAAAGTCACTTTAAAAACATAGTTAATTAATTCCAACATGGGAAACAGTAAGACCCATCTGCAGTTAGAAAGCACGACTGCAGAGCTGCCTTGCTGAAAGAAGCAACACGGACACAAATGGGTCTGCGGATTGCCAGCAGCCCAAGTACAATGGCCCTGGGTGTTGCTGGCAAACCAGTGTAATGGAAGAGCCACAGTTGAAGGTTTAACAACCAAAACAAGAGGCCGGATCCAAAAGATTACAGTGGGTTTACAAGGCTGCTCCAGAGCCAATCTTGAATCTTCTGCTTTCTGCTGGAAGGAACTTTCCCAATATTTTTAAATGAGCTGTTTTATTTGCCTTTTTAAAAGAGCCTCTTTCCTTTCTTCTGAAGCACTCTACTGCAGATGCATCAAATAGTTTGGCAGAAATGCAGATACCCTCAAAACTGTGGACAGACACTGGCTTGTACAAAGGGCAAATTTTTCCTTGCCTACCATGTTTGTGGTTTAACTTGGAAAAACTAACTGCAAATCATTTTGTCAGTAGTGAGGTTTTATTTAATGCATCTCGAGAGGAAAAGGAAAAAAACTCCAAACCCAAACAACCCCCTCTCACCCCAGAAATCTTCTCATGGCAGACTGCTTTAATTTGCAAGCTTACTGCTCAAAAGCCCCTTTTAAATGTACAGTTTTCAAATAATATTTTCCCAAGTCTCTCATGGTGACAGACTGGCATTATTTTACATCTCTGCTGTTTGTGGCGTGCCTGCCATATGCTTCAGGTTAGGTTTATTGAAGTGTTTCAAGCACAGCAAATCAGCAGGTGACTCACGGCATTTTCTGGTTTGCAAGTGCTTGAGCCACAAAGGGATTTGGATCAATGTTCTTTAACCAAATCAAGGAAACGATGGAGAGGATAATAAGGTGGCCACGGCGAACACTGGAAGAGGTTGGAAGAATGATTCGCTTGACGTTAGCTCCTCTAGGGTGGAGGGCCACAAGAACTAGGGATTTTGTTATGCATACTGTGGAATAGTGAGGGAGATTTTCCACCATTTACTTATTCATGGACTTGGTAAGAACATGTGATTCTTCACCACATTATTATTCTTCATACAGGACTTAGGTCAAGTGAAATTATTCCTTGTGGCTGGCTTTTTTAGAGACTTCTTTCCTGAAATAACTTAAATAAGTTAAATAGATGTGTATGTGACATCAAACTGAGGACTGGAAAACAGACTTGAACACTGTGACCAATGATTGCTGGTTCTAGAGCAAAACCAAAAAGACACTATACTCAGGTGCTCATATGAGCAAACAGCAAGTAAAACTGCTTTGAGTTGCTGGCATTAGGTTCTACCTAGTACTGGAGAACTTGTTAAAAGAGATTTGTGTGTACAATACACTACTATGTGAATTTACGGTGTATTAACCAGTGCACACTAGGTTCCCCAAAAGGGGATCCAAGCTGTTCACACAGTCCCAACATGTTATGGGTCCAACAAATGTAATGACAGAATTCCCATGGAACATGGATTTCACTCCAGTTGTGATCTGCCACTGTGCCGATTATGAATGTTGTTTGCTTATTTCAGGCAACCTGATAAATGAAAAACATCTTCCATCGATTTAAGGAACCTACTTTTAATCTTGCATTTGCCTTAATTTCCCTTTTCCTCTACTCAGCAATGGTTGGCCTCGGCAGGGTACATGATGTACAGTCTGCACAGCTATGTTTACCCTGCACTAAAGTGATCTTTCATTCCTATTATATTACATGAACATATTCATTTTCCTTTCCACCTCATACCTGAAAATACTGAAAGAATATATTTTTATTTCTAAGTCTAAGCTTCCCATTAACAGCATTCCCACAGAATGATACTTTATTCTAGCTGCATTTAATGGGTTCATCAACTAATAAGTGGGTTGTAAACCAAGTGGGTTGTAAACCTCTCAGGTAATTGCCAACAGCTCTTAAATTAGTAGTGGAAGGTATAAAAAAGAATACATATTCATAGCTCGTCATGGTCTCCAGCAGCCATTCTGTTCATCTGGCTGCTTTTAAGAGCAAGCAAGCAAGATGTTTCAGTGGAACTTTTGCCATTCTCCTTTGCTTTAGCCAGCTTAAAACATCGACTTTCAGGGGAGCATACTCAAATCCCAGTGGTGTATTTCATGAGTTAATATTCCTGAACCAATACTCACATTTTTGGGTATCCCAGATGTAGTTGTTCAGGACCTCTCCTACCAAGTAGAATATGTTAATTATTACGGTAACAGCTGCAAAAAAGATTATTTTGACACCTGGGCTGAGGTGCTCAAGAAGTGGGTACACCCACACTCCTGTCACGTGGTGGATCCAGCACACCCTGAAACAAAACAAAAATAACAAGTACTGACTCTTACAGCCCTGATTTTCAAAAGCAGATTGAGCTATAGGCTTAGCCACTGTATCAAGAAAAGCAATTCTTTGAAAGGACTGCAAGTTGCAACTGAACTGGAGCACCTAGATGACATCCACCCCAAAAAGACGAAACTATGACTGCCCACATTTTTACTGCTTTGTTTTGAATCTAATGTGAGCAGTTGGACAATTTTCATGTTCTGATGTAGGCAGGTATTTCCTTGCTGCATTTATATTTGTGAGAAATACACACCCCTGCTTCGTGCAGCAGCGTGGAAATTGCAGTACCCTCTGTTCAAGCAGGTCTTTTGTCCAAAGAGCATTCAGGGTTCTCTGGGCTCTCCTACACACCCCAACTCTCTGCTTTCTGCACCGTCCTCCTTTCATTTTGTACAGGTTTGTGTGTTTCTGCTGCTTCTCCTTGCTACAGCTGGCAAGTGTGTCAGTTTTGGGGTTTGCCAGAAAGATGTGGTTCAGCTTCTCTTTGAGAGAGTAATTTCTTCAGCACCTGTGTTTTAGGTTGCTGCTCCTCTTCTTGCAGTTACCTGGTATCATTTAGGACCTAATATTTTTTCTCTAGGTAGGATAAACAATTTTTTTTTAAAAGAAACCACCCAATCAGTGAAATTCTGCCCTGCTCCACACTCAATATACAGTAGGAAAGGAAAAGGAATGATGGTGGTTTGCTGGTGACACAGAGATTTTTAGCATTCAGCTGCACTGAAGATTGTTGGTACGCTAACCCAAGAGACGGGGTGTCAGCTTTACTGCAACGCAGCCTGCAGAAGCACTCCAGGTATGTGGTTTCACTGTGTGTGACTGCAATGGACACCTGCACCCTCTCGGAAAGGACAGCTTTGCGTTTAGATCTGATGTGGAGTGGTAAAGTCAGAGGGAGCAGAAGGAGTCCGTATGTTCCAGAAGGTAGAAGCTAAGAAAGACAAACGCTGCCAAACAACTGAGCAAACATCACAGAGGTTAACTGGGAAAAGTGCTCAGTGAAGACAGGCTGGAGCCCGTCAGCTGCTAAGCTCTCTTCAAGAGTGTAAATCTCTTCCTTTCTGACCCAGCAAGTTGAGGGAGAAGCTCACAGTGGAGCACGGCTAGAGAAGACTCAGCAGCTGCATCGACTATTATTGATGGGGATTTCCGTGTCCATAGATTTGCTTCACTTGCTGATACTTCTATTTCTTTAAGGAAGGCTTCTGATCACTAGATCAACAGTCATAGGCTCCTGAAGGGCTGAGACACAAAAGTTAACCTGAAACTGTTACCATAAATGCCTGTCACACAGAGAGTACAGAATCCCTGTTTAACAACTCTCCATCACCCTGGAAATGTACATGGCTGTCATAGCTTCCCTCTTCCTTAAAAAAGTTTTTATTACAGCCAAACCCTTAACAGTTGGACACTTCACAAAGGAATTTACATGTGTCAGTAAATTAATCTGCATGATCTAAATGCAGATTAAAAATGCTTTCTCCAAATGAGTTCACATATGGAAAATGATCTCTGTACTTTACAGTTCTTTCCCACAACATTCTTCTGTGCCAGAATTAACCTGACAAGAAAACAGTATCTGTGAAAAAACAAAGGGTTCCTGTGTAACCCATGGTAACAGGGGGATACCATGTCCCTCTTGATGGAAGAAAAAGGTGGGACAGTTGGGTAGAAGGTAATGCGACATCCTCTACACCCAGGTTGGCTTAGCAGGGAGTATCTATTATTGGCTAATGTTTTTCATTTTCATTTGCTTTTGTTTTATGATCATTCTGCGAAAAGCAAGCTCCAAGGAAAAAGCTTGTAAAAACAGCCATTGCTTATTTTTCACTTCTTTTCTCTGATGTGATGAAACTGCCCAGCACTATAACGTACCTTTACAGAGGGACTTTTCAAGGAACCTTCTAAACTGCACCTACGGAGCCAACTTCATGAATCAAGCAGAAGTGGCACTTACTAGAATGCATTTATACTGGAAAGAGGAAATATTTTCTAAATCCAACCAATGAGTCACCAATGAGCTCCTGACTGTCAGCGATCTCTGGTTAATCCAGGGTCGTTGAGTACAGCTCATGCACTCTGTCCTCTGCTGCCCAGCACAGGAGCCCATTCATTGTGTGGTGGCACTGCCCTTGTGTTCAGCGTAGCTGTTGTACACCCATCCCCGGTGCAGCCACATCGTAGGAGCTCACGCTTTGAGCACAAAAGGTACTGAGCACCACATGGGAGACAACAGTCCCAAACCCACCTGATCAGCTGCCCTGATCTTCCTTCAAATGAGCTGTACCACGCCGCTCACTACTTTGGGATGGAGTAATGTTAGCCTTCTCTCCACTGAGCAGTGACACACTGACTATTCCTGCATTGTCTGTACCACTAACAGGAGCAGCAAAGGGATGACTGCTGCCATGGAAACATCACCTGATGGCCTTTCTTAGTGGGTTTGTTCCTGCTATCTTGACGTCGCACAATAAAGGGCTGATCAACCGTAGGCATAAAGCTTCCACACAAGATTGCTGATTACTAATGTTAATGAATACCTTCAATGTTGCAATTCTAGCACTCATTATTCTTGTCCAACCTCATTATTAGATAAGCACGGGGGAGCATGCATTAAGATTTACTTAGGAGTGCAAATCTAGATCCAATTTAAGACCCTCTTATTGAACAGGTATAAAAAATGGGTCATTTAGATAAAAATAAACTGAGGAGAAAAAGTTTAAGCTAAAACTGGACTGGCTACTTTGAAAAGATAAAATTAACTTGAACCTCCCTGTTTTTTGGTTCCATGGCAGACCATGTATACATTACCATGTGTTTTCAAAGACGAATGTTACAGGTCATTGAGCTCATTTATCCATTTGTTAGAACTGGTAAGAAAAGAAGGAATGGAAATATTCACACATTGTATGCAAATTAAAACGTCTGTTAAAGAAAGTGGCAATTTTCGGGAATTTTCAACCAGCTGGTCTAGAAATCAGGAAAAGCTATTTGAAAACACACAATGTTGCTTCTCTTTAAAAAAATCTGTCAAAAATCTGACTTTGTGGCTGTTTTCCACTTCTAGTATACAGTAGATGTTGTGTAACTCTCCTATCAAAATAATCAGGAGGAAATGAAAACTACGCAAAGAGGACACACGTACCTTTATTCTTTAGCTATAGATGTTTTGTTAATGAGGGAAAGTAACTACAAAAAATTGTGTGAACCTTGCGATTTATGTGTAGTCTACCTGTTGCTTTGAGCTATTACAACAGCACGTGTGAAATCTAGTCCTGGTACAAGCAAGCTCAACAGGTGGATGCAATGGTAGATAACCACAACACCCAAAAGGTTTGACAATGGGAGCCATGTTGCAGAAAATGGCTGCTCCTTCACGATGCCTGCTCTCAACTACAGGATTTTGAATACACTTGCACAGGCATCACAGCTTGGAGGCACACTGTGGTCTGAACTCTGAGAGTCTCCACACATTTGCTGCCCAAGTTGAGTCCTTCAGCGAAATCTGCAGCCAAACAACAATCAGTACTACATATTCTGGAAACAGGAACTACTAGATGAGGGGCTATGTAACTTTTCAAAAGCAATGAATGAGAGGACCCAGAATAATAATGCATGTCATAAAATGGCTGACTCATAACAGAAGCAGCACTTCAACAGAAGTCAGAGACAATAAATTAAAATCGGATAAAGGAAGTATCTTTTTGCATGATACCTAATTAACCTCTGGAATGCTCTACCCTATCTCTCAGTGATACATCAAGGTATTAAAAAAAAGTTGTCCTGTGCAACCTGCTGTAGGTGACCCTGCCCTGGCAGGGGGGTTGGACTAGATGATCTCCAGAGGTCCCTTCCAACTCTGACCATTCTGTGATTACAGAAGACAAAAGGAAAACTAGGGAAAATGTGGGCCCACTGTTGAACGAGACAGGTGCCGTGGTGACAGATGATGCAGAGAAGGCAGAGTTGCTAAATGCCTTCTTCGCTTCTGTCTTCACTGTTTGGGCTAGTCCTCAGGAGACCCAGACTTTACAGGTAACAGAGAAAGTCTGGAGGAAGCAAGACTCCCTTGGTTGACGAGGAGCAAGTTAGAGATCAGTTAGATAAACTGGATTACACAAGTCCATGGGCCCTGATGGAATGCACCCTCGGGTGCTGAGGGAGCTGAGGGAAATCATTGCTGGGCCGCTCTCCATCATCTTTGAAAGGTCCTGGAGGACAGGTGAGGTGCCTGAGGACTGGAGCAGTGTCACTCCAGTCTTCAAAAAGGGCAAGAAGGATGACCCGGGAAACTACAGGCTGGTCAGCCTCACCTCCATCCCTGGAAAGATGATGGAACAGCTTGTGCTGGGTATCATCTCAAAGCACCTGGATGAAAAGAAGGTTATCAGAAGTATTCAACATGGATTCACTAAGGGGAAGTCGTGTCTGACTAATCTGATAGCATTTTATGATGAAGTGACTAGATGGGTGGATGAGGGGAGGGCAGGGGATGTTGTCTACCTTGATTTCAGCAAGGCTTTCGACACTGTCTCCCACATCATCCTCACAGGCAACCTTAGGAAGTGCGGGTTAGATGAATGGACAGTGGGGTGGATTGAGAACTGGCTTACAGATAGAGTTCAGAGGGTTGTGGTTAGTGGTGCAGAGTCCAGTTGGAGGTCAGTAACAAGTGGTGTCCCTCAGGGGTCAGTACTGGGTCCAGTCCTGTTCAGTATATTCATAAATGATCTGGATGAAGGGACAGAGTGTACCATCAGCAAGTTTGCTGATGACACAAAACTGGGAGGAATGGCTGACATGCCAGAAGGCTGGGCCTGGGGAGGAATAACCCCATGCACCAGTACAGGTTGGGGGCTGATGTGCTGGAGAGCAGCTCTGTGGAAAGGGACCTGGGAGTGCTGGTGGACAACAGGATGACCATGAGCCAGCAATGTGCCCTGGCGGCCAAGAAGGCGAATGGCA